GCCCCTTGCCCAGTCTGGCGCAGGTATAATGGAGCGGCCTACCTTCAAGGACTCCTCAAGTCAGATAATGCTCGAGCGACAGTGACTGCCAATGACTTTTGTACAACCAGAGGTGGAAGGAGCCCAAAATAACCGGCATTGAATTTCTTACCTACCTGACCAGATGGGATCTCAGAACAGATTCAAATTTGACTTGGAGAGGGCCGGCCCAGTGGCGCACTGCTGGTTCTTGAGAATTGTCTCTAAACAGAAGCAAAGTTTCTCTGGGACCCTGAGCTGGGGCATCCAGCACATGGTCTTCAAAGAGTTTAACAGAGTAGTAGGAGGAGATGTAGTTCCAGAGCTGTCAGTGCTGGACATACTAGCACACCAGATGAAAAGAAAGGAGTAGTCTGACGTTCTTGAGAATTGTCTCTAAACAGAAGCAAAGTTTCTCTGGGACCCTGAGCTGGGGCATCCCGCACATGGTCTTCAAAGAGTTTAACAGAGTAGTAGGAGGAGATGTAGTTCCAGAGCTGTCAGTGCTGGACATACTAGCACACCAGATGAAAAGGAAGGAGTAGTCTGATGATAATGACGACCATTTGTCGAGTCATTTGATGTGCTAGGCATGACACCAAGCACTCTGATTAATATTAGCAAACAAGTGTTGGGTGCTTACTAGATGCCAGGATGGTGCTAAGCGTTTTACATAAATTATCATTTTACCCTCACTACAGCCCTCTCATCACCCCCACTTCATGGCCAGGAGTCGGAGTTTCACGGTTGCAGTCATTTGCCCAAGGTCAAGCAGCTGAGTGCCATTCTACTTTGGGCTGGGGGAAATATTAAGTGCAGAGACACTATCAACCTATGGAGGCCAGGAAGGACGAACCAATGAAATTAAAGTCGGTGGTAATCAAGATGAATGATGTGGGTGACCTCTTCCAGGGGACAGCCACGTAAGAGGTACATATAAATGTGGTGAGATTAGGGTGTTTTCTAAATCTCAGTGAGGAAATCCCCTCCCCCTAAAGAGGCAGGTACCAATCTGATGTGCAATTAGTAGAACACTAATCTTGGAAACTGTCATGTGACTGTCACAGGAAAGTATTTTCAGATGACAGATTTGTAAGGCTGAGTGAAAATTTTTCCTAACTCTGAAGAAAAGGACATTTGGTCTCCAGACGGATGGGAACGTGGCTGGTGGTGGCCCCAGATTTGCTGACACTCTTCTAGAATACAGTGCTTCTCGAATGTGTCCACCAAAGCTCCCTGATGACAGAGGCAAACCTGTATACCTGAGATCTGGGCATTGCCCAAAGCTCTCCTATTTTATCTTAAAAATCATTTTAAGAAGATATATAAATGGCCAACAAGCACATGAAAAGATGCTCAATGGGCCGGCCCAGTGGTGCACTGCTACAGTGTGCCGCTTAAGGGTTCAGATCCCACATACAGACCAGTTCCCGCTCACTGGCTGAGCGAGGTGCGGGCGC